AAGGAATGGTCAAATCACATCACCCTCAGAGGCCATAGAGTGAAAGACTCAAAGTCCATGGAAAAAAAACAAGTAACAGAAGAGCAACCCTAAAATACAGAAATGTGATAGCACAGATACCAGAATAACCCACAAATGAAATCTTGATAGATTTTACCAAGAGAAGAAGTGTTCATGTCTAGGAAAAGTATACATCCCTGCACTTACCAAAACACACATCAGATTATTTTCTTGCTGTAAACTTGTAAACCAAAACAGCAGTGTCATGAACTATCAGACTCATCAAAACAAGATGCTATTTCTGAAGGTTAATAACAATTTGCATGTCAACACTTAATTATTTGATTACTGATCATTACCATAAACATTACGAGTTGCTGGGTTTTACCAATGCAGTTGGGAGGACAGACTACACAAATAAAAGAATACAATTCCAAAATTTAAAAGAGAAATCTCAATCAATGAATTCAGTGACATGCTGGTTCTTCAAAAGAAGTGCAAGTTCAATATTTCATGACAAAAAGCTCCTCAAGGTGAGCTAGTTGAACATCTCATCTTTGCAGAAACAGAGCTGCTGAAGTACAGTTAACTGTAAAACTGTACTGAAAACTGAAAACTTCTCAGATTATCAGAAGCAAAGACCTACGCAGCTTCCCAAATGTCTTTCCGAAAGTAAAACGCAGGAGCTTCTAGGACTGCAACCACCAAATAACTGACTTTACTATGTTAGCCAGCTGTGAAAAGTCCATGCACATCTCTTTCTGCCTTTGCAAGCAAGACAGTCAAAACACATTGAGATAAAGCCTTGCTGTTTTCCCCCAGTTCTGTTCACAGAATCATAGAATATCCTGAGTTGGAAGGGACCCACAAGGATCATCAAAGTCGAAGTCCTGGCCATGCACAGAACAACGCCAAGAATCACACCATGTGAGCATTGTCCAAACACTTCTTGAACTCTGTCAGGCTTGGAGCCATGACCACTTCCCTGGGGAGCCTGTTCCAGTGCCCAACCACCCTCTGGGTGAAAAACCTTTACTTAATATCCAGCCTCCCCTGACACAGTTTCAGGCCATTCCCTCAGTCCTGTCACTGGTCACGAAACTGAACAGATGAGTTCCTGCCCCTCCTCTTCCTCTCATGAGGAAGCTGTAACTGCAATGAGGTCTCCTCTCAGTCTCCTCTTCTCTAGGTTGAACAGACCAAGTGACCTCAGCCACTCCTCATACAGCTTCACCATCATTGTCATCCTCCTTTGGACACTCTCTAAGAGATTAATATCTTTCTTATATTGTTCACCCAAAACTGCACACAGCAGAGTACTGACATGGCAACTATGACATCCTCATGTTTTCATTTATAAATTGATAAATAAAATTTATCATTTATAAAATGATAAATTGACTTTTCACAGAAATAACAGAGTAGCTACAGGAGAAGTCTTAAAATGCTGTCCTTTTATATAGCTTAATATTAGGTTATTGGGTCCATATATGGGAAGAGGAAACATGCAATAAGTGTAAAAAAAAAAGTTTCATTCCTAAATTTCTCTGACAGTCAAATTAGTGATAAAGCAACCTCTACAGCCTCCTTTGTTCCATATGGACTTGTATAGGACTTTTGCTAACACATTCTAAAACTCTGGTACAGAAAAGGGGGTGGGGGGAAACTCCCAACCTTCAACATGTCATCTCCTTACTACAAGTTTTAGTTCTTACTGCAAGGAAAAGAAACAGTTCAAGGGTATACATAAGATGATGAACACAGCAATTCCACAAGCAGCAGCAAAGAAAACCATTTGATCATTAATTTATGTTTCAGTGCTACCCAATGCACCCAGGAGAATCCCTGAAAATCAGAGAATCCGAATTAGCTTTAGGTTGCTTGGAAGTGAAAAGATAACACCATGGAAAAATAACACAGACTCTATAATGTGCATTTCCAGTCGGAAGCTGAGAAGTCACATCACAGAAGTTTCTCAGTGGTCATAGAGGAACCAAGAATCTCTAATGGTTATATCCTGTAGAAAACAATGTCATTGTCTCCAGATCCCTTCCTACACTCCACAAAAAATGGACTTGAAGAACTATAGTGACTAGTATTTCACAAATCATAATCCCTTCTGTTTCCCTGTATTAGACTTCTGAGAGCTCTGACATTCTCAGAACTGAGAATCTAAGCTAGTATCCCAACTTAAAAATGTCCAGCAATGCACACGGAAGCTGACAAGAGTGTAAAACAGGGTTAAGTCCAAGTGAACCATCTCCAAAACATTCTTGTATCTTCCAGGAATTTGAGGCTCAGCAACTTTTCAATCAATAACTTTCAACATATAGTTTTGCTTTTAGGCTATTATCATCTGGATGGAAGTGGAGTGTCAGTATTTGCTATACAAGAGATCCTACAATTTCTCTGTGCATCATCTGAAAGTTCACTCTTTTGTCTCCTCTAAGACAAATACCTGCAAATCCCTTAATACAACCTAGTTCTTGAGTCAAAAGAAACAGCAGACAGCAATTCTCCATTTCCTTCTCCATATCACCTAATGATTTTACCGAACTCTCTCAAATTAACTTTATTTTCAGCCTATTTTTCCTCATCTCAAAACCTTTAGTGTCTTTGAACAGCCGGTACCATGACCATCCCTGAATATTTTCTTCCCACCTTCTCCAAGGCTGTTCAGTTCTTCTTGAGATGCCACACTCAAGATACCAGGCTTTCTAGGAACAATTCAAAGTCTGCCAAAACCAACCTGTCCCCTTTTCCCCATACATACTCAGCATGAAGAAGTGCTCTCATCCCCAGCATCAACCCTTCCAGTGAGCCAGCGATTTTGGCTCACTGCTGTAGTTTCTCCAGCAACCAAACCTCTCTCTTCAGCCTTCCTGCCTCCATAAATTGAGACTTACCTAAATATGACGAGAGGTTAAACACAAATTCATTGCCTTTTCCATAGCAGGTGGAATCCCTGTTGAGGAACGGATTCAGTGCTGGTAGCTCAGTGTAGCTGCAGTGGAGGCCCCAGGTTGTGCCCTAGGTGGTGGGAAATGGTGAGAGCCCCAGGCAAGAGGCCATGAACTGGTGCCAACCCTTTGCACGGCAAAGGGTACGGGGCCCTGTGGGACCAGCCAGGAGAACAGACACTGAAAGACACAGCAGGAGCCCAGGACTCAGCAGGAATACCCCAGACTATCAGACTGCATAGACTTTAAGGGTATAAAAGCCCAGGAATTGTGTTGTTTGAAGCACCAGCTCAAGCTGGTTTTGTGTTTTGCACCATCATTAAATTGTCTTAAGGATCCAGACATCTGAGACTCTACTGTGGGAAACCTGGGGTTGAACTGGTAAGGAAACCAGGTCTGACTGTGTGAGTGGGGTGTGTAGTGAGTCAAGTGGGGCACCCGTCAGCTCACAGGAGCCACTCACTATGAAGGGGCTCCAGTCCCGGCAGAAAAAGTCTCAGGTGGTGGGAGTGTGGCTGCCAGAGTGGCTCCTGGATGGTCAGACAGGAAAGTTCCCTTAACCCCAGCACTGGAGTTTTTCAAGACATGACTCAACAGAGCACTAGATAATCTCACCTAGACTCCCTAATCCACAAGGGGTTGGACAAATGATCTTTCAAAGTCTTTTCAACCAATGCTGTTCTAGGATTCTAAGCAAATACAAGTGGCACCAGTGGAGAAGAAAATGTAAAGGTAAAGCAGGATAACGGTGTCCTACGTAAGTTTTGCTTCCTGTTAAGTGTATTTTCTGAACATCCAAGAGGCTGAACTGAGCAAAGGAGCATTCTTAAGCACATCATACAGCAGTTCAAATACAGCAAAAGACAACAATAACAAACTTTTGCAGGGGAGTATGGTTCACTGTTACTAAGTTAAAGGAATTTCCCTTCAACTGTTTGTCAAAAAGGGGGAAATCACTGAAGAGAACTTCTAGAAACAAGAAACAGTTCCACAACTGTACAAGGGAGATGCTCATATGATGTATTACATGAAGTCCTCTCTCTGCTTTGCCTTGAGAAAAGACATCACTGACATGTAAGCTTCAAGCTATTCAGGCCGTTTTCCCACTACTTTTTTTTTGTGAAAATATCTTTGCCCAGTAAGATTTGGTTGCTGCTTACTCTGGCCTTCCGTCAAAAGCCCATCCTCCCAACCTCATACTTTTTCCTTAGCCTGTCTTCCTCATATTCTTTTCCTTCTATGTAGTTATCTATCTCCTACTCCTCAAACTTCAAAATGAATCATGTCATCCAACTGATGTGCCGTTTATGACACCAGCACTCACTCTACCTACAAGTTAAAACAAGAATCAGCACAAGTGCCTAACATGGCATATAGGCAGATTTTGAACAGAATGGATCAGGATCAGCACAGGTCTCCAAGTCACAGCAACTCCATCAAAGCACCTGTGAGTGGGAGCTTCCTAAGTCTTGGCTCTCACTACAGCAACCGAGCAAGTAACATCATGACTCTACAAAAACACTTCTTAACACAAACACACACCACTTCACTTCAGTGACCAGAATGCTGTAATGTAGGGATACAGACTCTTTAGGAAATACAGGCCAGGAAGACAAGGAGGAGTTGCCTCATGTCTCATTTAAGGAAGGTCTGAGACTGGGGCTGTTTAGTCTAGAGAAGAGAAGGCCGGGGACAGGGGGTGGTGTCATCAATGTATATAAAAATCTGAAGAGAGGGTGTAAAGACGACCGGCCCTGGCTCTTTTCAAAGGCGTAAGCCCAGAAACACGTAGGAAGTGAAACACCACTCGGATCAATACTACAAGCGACAAAAAGCACGAACTCAGTTCCCGGCTGCGTCCTGCCGCTCCTGGTGCCACATCCCGGCTCCCCTCGGCGCACAAGGGGCTCTCCCAGGGCGTTCCCCCCCAGGGCGGCCGCCGGGAGCGCACTGACCCCGCACAGCACCCAGGGCCCAGCCTGGGTGACAGAAGGGACTGAGCAGCACCAGGGCAAGGCCGGGCCGGGCCGGGCCCCCCACCTGGGCCAGCAGCGCCTCCCGCTGTTCCTGCTCCCGCTGCTCCCGGCTCCGCTCCCTCTCCAGCCCGGACGCCATCAGCACGGCCCGCCGGAAACCGTGCGGCAGCCGTACGGCAGCACCGCCGCGACACTGTCGTGAACGGCGTCCCAGGCAACAGCGGGCGGGGACAGCGGGGACAGCGGGGACAGCCCCCACCCCGGCCCGCCGGGGCCTGCCCAGGGCTGAGCTGTCGTGCCGCCGGGCGTCAGTCCCGCCGTGCTCGGCAGCCTCCGCCGTGAGGCGCTCACCTCATGACCGGGTTACAGAATATTCTGAGTTGGAAGGGACCCACAGGGATCATCAAGTCCAACTCCTGGCCCTCCACAGGACCATCCCAAGAGTCACACCATGTTCCTGAGAGCACTGTCCAAACACTTCTTGAACTCTGTCAGGCTTGGTGCTGTGACCACTTTCCTGGGGAGCCTGTTCCAGTGCCCAACCACCCTGTGCTTGAAGAACCTTTTTCTAATATCCAACCTAAACCTCCTCTGCTACAACTTCAGGCCATTCCATCAGGTCCTGTCCCTGATCAACACAGAGAAAAGATCAGTGCCTGCCCCACCTCTTGCCCTCCTATGGAAGCTGTAGTCAACAATGAGGTCTCCTCTCAGTCTCCTCCAGACTGAACAGACCAAATGACCTCAGCTGCTCCTCATATGGCTTCCCCTCAAGGCCCTTCACCATCTTTGTTGCCCTTCTTTGGACATTCTCTACTCGCTTAATATCTTTTGTATATTGTAGCACCCAAAACTGCACACAGTATTCAAGGTGAGGCTGCCCCAGTGCAGAGCAGAGCGGGACAATCCCCTCCCTCAACCAACTGGCGATGCTTTGCCTGATGCCCCCCAGGACAGGGTTGGCCCTCCTGGCTGCCAGGGCACTGCTCACTCATATTCAACCTGCTGTCGACCAGGACCTCCAGGTCCCTTTTCACAGCATTGCTTTCCAGCATCTCATTCCCCAGTCTGTACGGACATCCAGGGTCGCTCTGATCCAAGTGCCCAGGTGGATTCCCCCCACTTCATTCAGAGCTCACCAAAGGCTTCCCACAGCCTCTCAGGCGAAGGTCTCAGAAAGCACTGTGTTGTGGCACAGCACCTTAGCAGAACCCTGTGCTGCTTGACCAACAGGACCACACAGTCCTGGGGTGGGTGTTAAGGAAACTTCCCTGCCTGGCCATTCAGGAGCCACTCCAGCAGGTTTCCCATAGCAGAACCTCAGAGATCTCAATCCTTATAATAATTTAATCATGGTACAACAACAAAATAACAGCTCGAGTTGGTGCATGCAAGGAGGGACCCCAAAGAAAGGAGCCCCTGGGCTTTTATACCCTCACAGTCCAAGTGGAGTAAAGTCTGTAGTCCTTGGCTCCTGCTGTGTCCCTGAGTGTCCGATCACATGGCCACCGCCACAGGTCCCAGTACCCTTTGACAGTCCACAGCATCTTGCTTTGGGCTCAGGCTCATGCGCCCCAGGAGCTCAACCTGCAGCTCACACTGCAGCTGAATGTAAGAACCATCTGCACTGAATGTATTCCTCCACAATGGGGATACTGACCTCCAGGTTCATCCTTCCCACTGGGCCAAAACTGCCTCGTGCAGACCCCAGCCTGCTCACCTGGACCAGCATTAATGAGAGTGAACAAGGGAAACGTGGCCCAAGCAACACTCAGTGCTCCAGTGCCACGCAGCACCCAGTGCTCCCCATTGCCATGACCCACCTCCAGACCCACCTCCAGGCGACCTCTCAGCCCCTTTCTGCCCTGTTTGCTGCCAGTTCAGTGCATCCGTGCTGGGGTGTGGCCTCTGTAATGCCAGGGTGCTACTGCTTGGGATGTACCTGTGTGAGCGCAGGGAAATTAAAAAATAGACACGTTCAAGCGCTTACAAGTTGCAGTTCGTCAACAGTGTTCTACAGGGCTGCTATACCTCTGGTGAAGCAAATGTTTAACTGAGACATAATTTCTTTGGGATGAGATCAGAGCATTATTAATGTGTCTGACACCAAATGTGTTCACAGTTGCCAAGTAATAACATTATTTAGGCAAAGGTCTGAGCAAAGTGCTTGGGTAATTTGTTAGCTATTTGCATGGGACAGTATGTTTTCAAAGTGATAACGGTAATTTAATCATCATCTCCACAGTGGTATTAAATGTGTAAATTGCATTTGCATATTTGTTCAATTTATGCTGACAGTTAACGACATCCCAAGAAAAACCTGTTGTAGATCACCACTAGGTATAGAATAATAACTGATAGAGTTTCATAGGCACCATTTGGAAAAACAGCATGTGAACCCCTTTGGGGAGCCATTTACAAAGCAAACAGATGGATACAGAACACGTTCCAGCTGGATTGACTGATGCTGCTCTCATTCTTCATCTAGATGCAGCAAAGTACACTAGTTGAGAGAGGAGAAGCAAGAAAAGCACATGTTCGGCCCAGTAAGGAAAGCCTCTTTTTTGAGTGTGATGTGCTCTTCTCACCAACAAACTGATTTCTTTCCATTACCACTTGTTCCAGGCAGCCAGCAGAGTATCTCAAGTGGGTGCTCCCTAATTCACTCAGCACACAGCAGGCATATGGGCTTAATAGATTTATATTCAATCTAAACAGCAAATTGATAGTCCATGAGCTGAGCTGACTACTCGTGACTGAATCAGTTTAGGAAGTATTTGGAAATAAGAACAAAGCCTGGAAACTGTGGTAAGGTATGGTTGGTGACAGCTGCGGACAATTTTTTTCCTCCAACATGGGAGTGAGATGAGGGAATGTATTTTCAACAGCAGAAAGTTACAGGCAAAGAAGAGATCACAAAGCATGGGGTGGGGTGAGCTCTTGCAGTATTTGGTGTTATTCTTTATATCTGTAACCCCACACATCATTAATAAGGTGGTACTGTAAATATTAATTTAGAAACATTTTTCTAATACTCCTGTTTTTAGGAAAGAAACTATGATGCGAGTATACTCTAGAATCTCAAAAACTGAAGAATAATAAAACCTAGAAAGCTATTTTTGAGAGCTGCCTTTAATTTTGAAGTTAGGAGTTAGGGAAAGGATAGTATAATTTGATCTCATTTCCTCTCCTCATCCAAGAAAAGCATTATCTCAGAGGAAGCAGGTAAAATGAAAATTTAGTCTTATTTCTTTAAGGATATTAGTATGTCTGAGACCTCCTTACGTGCTTGGAAATCTCCAGTGAGCCTAGGGAAGAAGTCCTTGGTATACCACTTTTAATGGTCATCTGGGCACCTCTGTTCAGTCTTCTCATTTTCAGGGCCAAAATTAAACATGCTAATAAAGTAATAATGCCTTGGAGATACTGATCTTTGCTGAACTCCTACAGAGAGACGCTGACCTTGCCGAGTGAATTATTATTTTCCATTTCATGGTACATTTTACACTTTCTCTGAAAGAAGTTGGTGACTCTCCAACTGACCTGTGTTATAAACCTCCACACTGCTAACCTTCACTGCTTGCCTTCAGCTCTCAGCTTGATGTTTTATTTTTATATGAAAAAGGTTAGGAAAAAATCTCTCCACTCAGTGTGATCCTGTGCAGTTTTCTTTAAGCAAGAGGCAATGTTTCACTAGGAAAAAGAGATTCTTTTACTTTGAGAATACGAAATGTTTTTCCACAGTGCTACTGGAGAGAGCTTCTTACCTCAGTTATAACAACACATTCTGAATTCTTCATACTAAGGAGAACACTATCCAGTAGGATGCTGGTAAGAGGATAGCCCAGTCAAAATGTACTTAGTTTCAGTTTATCCTCATTCTGTCCATTTTTAAAACCACCTGGTTTTCAGTTGCCATTGGTACTGCTGAGCAGTCATTTACATTCAATTCTGAGGGATTACATAGACCATGATGGGAATTCCATTGTCTTGTCTAAGAAGCAAAATGTTAGTACTTGAAGAAATTGCAGGGGGAAAAAGAACAACAGAGAATGATGCAATTATGGGGAAAAGTGTATTTCTTTCATAGAAATTTCATTATATTTCCTTGGGAGAAAATTAAAGCAACTTTGTCTAAATTCAGTGCCATAAAATGATAGAACACCTTGCCCAAAAATCAATGCAGCAGCAATGCCTGGGTTATTAGTTGCTCTTGCCTGAATTGTGCAGTGAGCACCTGAATTGAAAAACCAGACAATTTTCTACTGTCCATCAAAAGAAGTGCTCCTGGCAGAAACAAAAGAGCCCCGGTGATGCTGAGAATCCTGACAGCCTGCCTTGGAAAGAAGAGCTCAGCTTGCAATGAAAACAAACGAGGAGGCTGTGGTGGATCGAAGAATGATTCACCCATTGTTCCATATTCAATAGCAAATTGCATATTGTCTGCCCCTGAGCAATAGTTATTTTGTTAATTTCTTTGAAAACAGACGATAACTTCAGCTGTAGTTCAGCAGACCAGGAGAATGGGGTTTAGAAACATCCATTTACCCTCTCCCCACCCCAGTTTCATGACTGTAACAAAGTGAATCCTTCATCTGAGAAATTCTCTAGTGACAACTTGGCAGTTCTGGGTTAGTGGTTGGACTTGATGATTTTAGAGGTCTTTTCCACCCTAAATGTTTCCATTATTCTACTAATAAATGTTTTGTGAGGAAGCTATTGTACATATGAAATGATAACTCGTTCAGTTAATTTCTTGTGGGGCTTTTATGTGTTTGGGGTTGGGGTTTTTTTCCTTCAAGAAATTGAAAATATTTTTCTCAGACAGGAAGCTCAAAGCAGGGATTTGCTGAGTCTGGGAACACACCTTTAGAGAAAAATGGCTAAGTCTTTTTGTGGTGCCTGCTCATCTTGGAGATGTCCAGAGCTGCACGTTAGGGAGCTTCAGATAGCTGCTTTGAAAAAGAGACATAAATACTGACTCAGATCACCCAGTTGGGGCAGGAATTAAAACTCTGGGGCTTTAGTTTATCAGTCTCTGTGCATCAGACCAGTGCAATAGTAACTAAAATATTCTTAGACAGAATTTCAATGCAGTGCAAAGACATTGGGTTTGGGCTTAAGTGAGATTAAAACATAATTTTGCCTTTTAAAGGTAGGTTAGC